CAGTGAAACGTGGGTAAAGTGGAAGGTTCTGGTTTCTACAGGATCAGTTTGGTGCACATGCTTCGTTTTTATCACATATTTTAACGAGAAAAGGATCCTGATAACGTCACCAAATCAGCGCCTGAAAGTCTCTCAGGATTTTAAGATTTGATCAACATTTAAAGTGTAGATCTGGTTTATTTTCCAGCTGAGCTAAACGTCGGACATCTCTCCCTCTCACTGTGTATCTCTGACTAACTATGGGATGTGTTTTTATGCTTTTCAACGGAGCTCAGAGAGTTAATTATCATAAAATAACGATCCAGGATCCAAAGACGTCCGCTGTAGTTGTGCCGAGAAGGTTTTTGCATCAAGATGGAAGCAAAGAAGAGATGATTTTTATGGACTAAAGCTTCTAAATGTGAAGTTTTTAGGAGTTAAATCAACAGCTGGAGACGAACTTTAATGGAATAAAATCGTAGTGAGTGTGTTACTGATCTGGTCTGATCTAATCTGGTCTGGTCTGATCTGGAGTTAAATGACTCGAGTCCTGACGGCTGCTCTCAGAGGCTTTTATTCTGACGGGACATACTTCCTCCTTCAGCAGCGACACGAAGAGAAAAAAACACTTTTATAAACCTTTAAACTCTGAACTGTGGAGCTCGGTGGTCTGAGCGGAGGTTTGTCAGCCGGTTTAAAAACAATAAAACCATAAAAAGAACCAATAAAGAGAATCAGAAGCGTTGAGTTCTGGTTTAAAAACAAAATCACTACAAACTGATACCATTGTCCTGATTAATAAAACACTGATTGATTAATTAATTACTCTTATTGTCTATGAACTAAAACACTAATGAGTGCAACGACATTTTTAAGTTTTATTCAACTTGTGTTTGTGGAACTCCGTCTCAATAATGTGGAAACACACGTTTAATAATCAGCTGATAAACGTGATTACTGCTGATCGTTAAATAACGGTGGTTAAAATCCGTATCTGCTGACTCAGCAGTTTGTTGGTTGGCGCTGATGTCACCAGAAGTCGCCGTAGATTAAAAAGTTTGATGAAACCTGTTGATTCTTCTCGCTGCTGCTGCAGTTCGTCACATCTTAATGAAACCTGTCCAAACATTCGTTAACTGAGTTGTTCTAATAAAGGAAACGATTTGAGGGTTTAGTGATCTTCAGACGATGAGGCTGCAGCTGGACTGTAACCATGGAGACGACGTGTGCATCTCAGAGGTCTGATGCTCTGAAGGCTGCAGCTTCTCCTGCTGCTGCTGCTGCTGCAGGTTAACGCAGCAACGAACTCAAAGTGACGGCAGGACGCTGTTAATGCGCCTTCCAGCTGCAGGGGGCGCCGAGCGACGCAGCTAATCGATGCACCGCCGTCTGCTCGGCTAATTAAAAAGCAATTACAGCGTGTAACAGAGGTGCTCGTGCTGTCACGAACGCTTCCTGATGGAGGTGATGGAGGTGACGGAGGTGATGGAAGTGACGGAGGTGATGGAGGTGATGGAGGTGATGGAGGTGACGGAGGTGACGGAGGTGATGGCGGTGATGGAGGCTCCTCGCCATCTTCTCCTCATCTGGGAACAATCACCATTAAAAGCTCAGTCTGCAGGAACAAAGTCCGGCTTCATGCCTTCGGTGATAAACGTGGACTCTGAGCAGCAACAGGCGGTTTTCCTTCTCTGACTCTGAACCTGAACGTGAGTCAGTGATGTGTCTCTGCTGCCCCCCAGTGGACGTCCATGATGCTGCACCATCAGATAAAACACAGCTGGACTTCACAGGGACGCTCTTCTGCTTTCATTGGTTGATTTAAAGCAGCAGATGCTGAACTAAAGGTCCTCTAACAGAAGAAACAACGTCAGGGTTTAAAGTTTAGCTAAAAAGTTTGACTATTAAGGTTTAAATGAGTCTTCCTGCCTAAATAAAATGTTAACTTTCCAAACTTTAAGCAGTTTTCTCTCTCCTGTCTCATGTTCCTTCACTGAGGTTCATGTTTCACTAAAGTCCTGCAGCTCTGAGGAACCAGAACCACATGAAGAAGGAGGAGAGAGAACTCAGAGATGTCTGCTGTCAGCAGGACTCAGAACGACACAAAGAGATTTTTTTTTTAAAAAGCAAGAAAAGATGCAAAAATGTCAAAAAGATGCAAAAATTACACCTAAAGATGTAAAAATGACACAAAAAGATTCAACAGTGACGCTGAAAGATGCAAAAGTGACAGTTAAGGACACAAAAATACCACAAAAAGTTATAAAAATGACACTAAAGGACCAAAAACTGACAGAAACTCAACAAACAGCTGACTGGTGATACGAAGCCGTTTCCATTAAATGTGAACGGAGAGAGAACTCAGAAATACAATAACACAGTTAGAATGAAAATACAAAATAAATGTGGAATTTCTTTGATTCTTTATTTTAGAACAAACGAAACAACCTCAGAATTCTTGTTACGTGGCATTCATCCATGTCGGCCTCCCAGGAGAGGAGGAGGGCAGAATGTTCAGGGTTTCTTTACATGTAGAATAAAGTGTTGGTTTGTGAGCAGTTCAGGGACTGTGGGAAAGCTGACGATTCAGTAACCGTGACTGTGACTCTGTCGTCCTCAGACCCGCCCGACTCCGCCTCACCTCACCTCGGCCATGGCTGAGAACATCCTGGCGGCCGCCTGCGAGAGCGAATCACGCAACGCCGCCAAGAGGATGCGCCTTGAAGCCTACCACGTGAGTGCTGGTGATTGTGTTTGTGTTTGTGTTGGTGTTTGTGTTGGTGTTTGTGTTGGTGATTGTGTTTGTGTTGGTGATTGTGTTTGTGATTGTGTTTGTGTTGGTGATTGTGTTGGTGTTGGTGTTTGTGTTGGTGTTTGTGTTTGTGTTGGTGTTGGTGATTGTGTTTGTGTTGGTGTTTGTGTTGTTGTTTGTGTTTGTGTTGGTGTTTGTGTTTGTGTTGGTGTTGGTGATTGTGTTTGTGTTTGTGTTGGTGTTGGTGTTTGTGTTTGTGTTGGTGATTGTGTTGGTGATTGTGTTGGTGTTTGTGTTTGTGTTTGTGCAGCTTCGTGTGTGAATGATTTACTCACGTTGAATGGTCGCTCATGCTCTGAATCCCTGAGCGGAACATGGAGCGTGTTGTTGACAGATGAGAACCAGCTCAGCGTTCTGATGCTTGTTTGATTCACTGATGCATGAAGCAGAAGTTAAACGTCGGCGCTGATTCACTGCAGACTGACTTGTTAGAGTTCATATAATTCATCTCATCAGGACCGATGTTTGACCCTCTGAACCCAAAACCTGCCACCAGCAGTTCTAAACATCGCGCTGTCTTTTAAAAATCAACTAATTTGCACCGTTTGTTAGAACCAGAACCTGTTTTCAGTCCAGAGGGTTTCAGTCCTTTCACCCTGTAACGTACCTGCAGCTGTCGGGTTAAAGTCAAAGTAGAAGGTAGCAGGACATTGAAATACCTCAGAGTACATGTACTCAGTTACTTCCTGCCACCGACTGACCCGTTTCCCCGCTGACCCGTCTCCTCTGTGTCCTCCGTGTCCAGGATGAGCAGATCTCTCTGGACAAGCCGTCCGGCGGCGGCGGCAGCGGCGGTCTGAGGGAGCCGGCGTCGCTCGCCCACTCGGCCTACTCGCTGGCCGCCTCGGCCTTCTCCTCCCAGGACACCCAGCTCTACATCAACGGCGCCGGCCTCAGCTACGGTTACCGTGGATACCCGGGCCTGGGCGCCGCCATGCAACATCCCGTTTCCCTGACGACCGGCACCGCTGCTCAGAGCAACGGTGAGGACGGGGATGACGGAAACAGAATGAATGAATCCTGACGATGAATGAATGAATCCTGATGATGAATGAATGAATGAATCCTATCGGTGAATGAATGAATCTTGACGTGTAGTTTTATCATCACTCATCTTCAGGCTGGTCATTAGAAGCTCTATTCCTGAAACGGCTTCAGGACAAAGCAACAGGTCTGATTACAGGATGAAGGAAGCGAAGCATCACGTAACCTGCAGTCGTGTTCAGACGCCTGCAGGAATCAGAGCTAACGGCTAATTCTGCTGGTTTTAACCCTGAGTGAGAACAGGCATGAAACAGCATTAACGTCATCTAACGGGGCGTTTGTAGCTGTACGGGATTATTCAGTGGTGGTTTTACTGTTGTTCTGCCGGGTTTCTGTTTATTCTGATTCCAGGAGACTGTTTCACAAAGCGAGCTAAAAGAAGTTAGGATTAAAGTTCAAAAACCTGACTCGAATGAACCAAACGCATCAGTCAGGGCTAAATGTTCCATAAAGGTTGAGTTAGCCTGGAAGTCAGCGTGACAGTTAGCATGACAACTAGGCTGCTAGTTAGCCTCACAATTAGCCTGACAGTTAGCCTAACAGCGCAATAGTTAACCTGGCATTTAGTCTAACAGTTAACTTGACACTTGGCCTAATGGTTAGCATGACAGTTGTGCTGACAGTAAGCTTGACATTTAGCCTGACAGTTTTTTCTAATAGTTAGCTTGACTGCTAGTCCAACTGGTAGAAACAAAGCCAGACAGTCAGCCTGACAGTTAGCCTGATAGTTAGTCTGACAGTTAGCCTGATAGTTATTCTAACAGGTAGTCTGCCAGTCAGCCTGACAGTTAGCTTGACAGTTAATCTGACAGTTAGCCTCATAGTTAGTTTAAAAGTTAGTCGGACAGTTAGTCAAACAGTTAGCTTGGAAGCCTTCCAGTTAGTCTGACAGTTATTTTGCTAGTTAGCCTGAAAGTCAGTTTGATAATTAGCAAAATAGTTAGCTTAGCACTTATCCGGACACTTAGCCTGACAGTCTGACAGTTAGCTCTCAGGGCCCTGTGCTTTGGTGAGCTGGTAGTCAGACAAGGATCGATGGTAGACGGCGATGCTTCAGGTTCATGACCTCCATCATGGAAAAGGTTCTGGTGATATTTCAGTCCTGATCTTTGTCCCGTCCTCCTCTGTGTCCTCCTGCCTCCTGTACTTCCTCTTCAGGCCCCACAGACCTCAGCATGAAGTCCCTCTCCTCCGCCAACATCGCCAACTCCGCCGCCGCCGCCGCCGCCAACAGCCTGGGTGGGCGGGGCAGCGGCGGCGCCGGAGGGGGCGGGGCCTCCACCCAGCTCAGCCAACCGGAGATCACGGCCGTGCGCCAGCTGATCGCCGGCTACCGGGAGTCGGCCGCCTTCCTGCTGCGCTCGGCGGACGAGCTGGAGAACCTCATCCTGCAGCAGAACTGATTCTGGCGGGAAAAACACACACACTTAACACACACACACACACACACACACACACACTTCCTGTTCTGTTTATTTTGTCCACCACACCTCCTCTTGTTTTCGCTCCTTGAATCTGGGCGTTTCCCCTCCTCTGCCTTCTCTTCGGGAAACTTTTATTTTGAAGGAAGCGTGGAAACGGAGCGACTAATCCCTCGATCCACCGATTCTGCCTGAGGACAAATCTGAACGACCACAATGATTAGAAAAAAGGAAAAAAACAAAAAAAAAAAGGAGGAATCTTCTTCTTCTTCTTCTGCGGAAGCACCTCACAATCAGCGACGAAGACGAGGAGCGAAGACGACGGCGGGTTGTTGATTCTGCTGCTGTGGGTTCAGAAAAGAACATTTAAAATTTAAAAAAACAAAACTTTCTTTTTCCTGTGAAGCTCGGGGAGTTTTGAGCATCATCCTAACAAATTAAAAAATAGTAAATCCCACAGACTCCCTGAGTTCTCGCTACCGAGGCTGTTTGCTTGCTTTGAGATTTTCTCTTTTGTTTTTTTTGGGAGTCTGAATTTTGTTTGTTTGTTTGTTTGTTTGTTTTTTTGACTCTTCCCAAGTGACTGAAAGAAAGAAAAGCGGTTTGACTTATCTTGAAAAATAGCACTAAAAAGGAAAAGACTCTTGAGTCCGAACGGGGCCAAAATAAAAAAAATTTGTTTGGTTTAAAAAAAAAAAAAAAAAAGTAAAAAAAGTCGGAAAAAAGAACAAAAAAAGTTTTTTCTCGTGCTCGCTTGTAAATAAGCTCTCTGTGTCCCTATAGCACTTTTCCCTCCTCACCCGGCCCTCGCCCCATCGTCCTACCCAGGGAGCAACTTGTGCTACTTATGCATCCAAGACGCCATTTTGACCACCAGGAAATACCTCAGATCAGACCTGCCAACTCCCGCCCGTGGTGTTGTTTTCTTTTATTGTTTATTTTCTGTTGTCCTCAACAAACAAACACAACAACAACAAGCGAATGGTACCGCCTGAAGCCAGTTTACTTTTTAACCACCTGATGTCTTCAAGGGTTTTTCGGAGGAGAGAATCAAAAACAAAAACTTTTATTGCGCAAAAAGCGTTTGGGGAACGTTTTGTTTGCGGGTTTGTTGGTGAGCTGCTGGACGTGGAGCAGCTGACGGGAGCGAGGACCACTTTGACTAAAGGGGGGATTTCTTAACTTCAACTAACTCGTGGCAGTTTTACCTCCCGCTTCTACTTTTTACAGCCAACGAAACCTCAGCATCCTCTTTCTGTTGAACACCTCCTCCTCCTCCTCCTCCTCCTCCTCCTCCTTCTTCTCCACTGGACCTACTCTCTTCTTCATGGACCTAGACGTCCTCCTGTTTCCGAGGACCAGGAGGAGTTTTGCTCTGTCTTACTGTGTTTGTCTGTTTAAACTCTAAAATGGCCATTATTGTTCTTATTATGATTATTATGATTATTATTATTATTACTATGATTCTAATGATGAACTCTCATGTTGCTGCTGCTATTCAAAAAAAAAAAAACAAAAAAAAAAAACAACCGGACCTTCTGCCATAGACCTGAAACCTCAACGAAGCCGGGCGCTAGCCGACCGACCGACCGACCGACCGGAAGACCTCCGACTGCAACGAAACTGAATCAAGTTTAGTGAAATCTACCTTTTCTCTCCGTCACGCTGGTTGGTTGGTTTTTCTCGTTTTTTCGCTTCATAGGGCTCGATTCATGTTGTGTTTTTGTGACTTTCTAACTGTGAATCCTTCTTTTCGTTTCGATTCTTCCCACGTTCGGGGGGCGCTGGGAGGCCGACACACTTTAACCTCTCACAGAGGCCAAACTAGTCCAGTGTGGAATACATTTAGAAATGACTTATGGGGGCGGGAAAAAGGAGGCGACTCGAAACTGTGTGCAGATCAAATCCTGTCGGGTTGAAGGTGGTTCCTGCTAAGCTAGCAGGTGCTAGCTACTGGACACCGGATTACATCTGCAGCCTCTGGTGTTCAATACAAACCCAGAGGTTTGGGGACATATTGGGAAATTTGCTTATTTTAAAGCTGGAGCTAGCCTAGCTTAGCCTAGCTTAGCATAAACGCTTGGAGGCGCAGTTACCAACATGTTACATCTTGTCTGATTAAGCCATAAAAAATAGATGTACCGTGTTAGTCGGTGCACTCCGGAGGTCAGTGTTTGGTGCCTTCAACCCTCCGAACTTCAGCCACTTTCTGGGCATTTTTCTTCACTGTGAGTTCGTTTTTCACTGAGACATGAAGTCCTCACCTCAACAGAAACAGAACGTCCACGACTAGAAGCAGACAGAATTTAAAAATGTCTTCATTGCAGTTAGAATGACAGAAACCAGAAAAGACGAAAGTTGCTTTTTTGTTGGACCACAACCACCACGGTTGTTACCAACACAAGGCGACTCCACATGCTACAGATAATTACAATCCCCACAAACTGCTTTTTTTTGGCCAAATTTTTGGAACAATTTTTGAACAAAATATGTAGAATAAAGTAATTTTTTAATAAGTTTACGGACAAATGCACGGTTAGTTCAAGAACTGTTGGACATCCAACGACTCCTTCTGTTCTTACAGCTAGCTGCCCTGATAGATGTAGTTGGTTTAGTTTTTAGGCGAACATGCCTTTCAAACCCGCCGGTGGGTTTTGGGGTTCGGAGGGTTAAACGGAGCCACGCTCGCTGTTTCTTCATGCTAAGCTAAGCTAACTGTCCCCTTGGCAAGAAAGCACATTTCTTAAACTCTTCCTTCAAGGAGGTGAAACATCGGTACCAACAAAAAGAAAAAAAAAAAAAGGCCAAATCTCCGGTTTCGAGTCGCCAACTGCTGGCGTTTTGTTAAATTTAGCATCGAAGGGCATTTTGAACCTCTTGTCGCGTCTCGGCTCATTCGGAAGACGTTGGGGAAATCAGCGAAAGAGACAAACTTGAGTTCCGCCCGAGGCTTTGCTCTGTGTTCTGTGCTTCTACTGTGGTTCAGTTCGACTGTCCTGTCACTGTAATTTGCTCCCTTTTTGCACACTGAGCGAAGCAACAGTCATCTGCGATGTGAAGATGTGAAGATGTGAAGATGTGAAGATGTGAAGATGTGAAGGGGTTTCGGGGGGCTCTCTGAGTGTCTATATGCATGTTTCTCCAGCAGGGACCCCCCGGCCCTTAGACTTGCACTGCTGTTAGAGCGGAGGAAGGCGCGTGGTGGGGTTTTTGTTTTTGCAATGCAGTTGATAATCAAAGCATTTGCTGGTCTGGAGCTGGTTCGGCGGCCCACAGGGACGGACGACCAGTTTGTTCATACCTCGTACCCACAAACACAAAACCTCCATCCGGACTTCCACGGATTCATGTCAGAAGCTCCACATCTGGTTCAGACCGAAATGTTGAAAAGTTGTAAAGGATGTTTTTCTGTTTTTATTTCTTTTAAGGAAACGGGAAGCTCTGTTCAAAGTGTTCTGATCGCTGGATGACAAACATGAGAAAAATATGCAAAAAAAAACAAACGACCCAACTGGAAGAGAAAGACGGGCCGGCGGCGCCTCGGATCGCTGTGGTGCCGCTTCCACCGACGCAACAACACTCGTGTTTATTTACCTAAAGCTTAAGATTTGATTTAAAATGAGAGCAAACGCGTGAATCCCACTGAGATACAATCAACTTTTCATTTATTTTCTCCCTAATTCTAGCGTCTCCACTCGATGATGGTTTAACGGGCTTTCTTTGGTTTGCTCTGACTGGATTTATTGCCTTCGATGTTGTTGGAGGCGCCGGCGACCCGTCCTCCTCTTCTCCTGTTCCATCCTCACTGTGCTCTCAGACACTGCCAACGGTTCGGTTTTCGGTTCGGATCGGTCCAGACGTGCTCAGTCGATCTCAGAGTTTATGATTGATCCGGTGACTCGGGGACCTGATAGTGATGACTGGAGGCAAACCTTCTGATCACAGCAAAAACACTCGGCATCACCTGGACGTTCACTTTGCCGACCACTGAGTTCATGTGGAGGCTGGAGAGTCACACAGTGTTTGCTCGTTTGCATGTAAATCAGAAAGTTCCAGGACTAAAAGAATTTTTTAAAACGCATCTGAATTAAATTCGCCGTATCCGTCCACGAGTTTTACTTGCGCAGCGATGCTCTGCTCCCAGTGCTCCCAGTGCTCCCTGTGCTCCCAGTGCTCCCAGTGCTCCTGCAACGCCGGAAACGCTCCCTGGAAGTCCTTTTATGGTCGTATGTCGAGCACCGACTGCGATGAATCCACTAGACCGTGTCAAAGCGACGTTCCCTCAACTTGAATTTCATTTTAGGGAAGAAGTAGCAGGGAGCTGAACTAGCGTGTAGGGCCAGTTGTTGTGGCTAAAAATCTAGACCCGGTCTTAAGGTCCATGGTTGGACTAATACGCTAAAGACTGGTTCACATCCCACAAAGGACGAACCAACTTTATTAGACCTAAGTTTTGTTTTCTGTCATCGTTTTCTTCCAGTTTTCACTCGCTATCCGGTTTAGTTTAGGTAAAGTCTCACTGTTCAGGTTAAAGTACCACCTGTTTAGAGCCTCCTCTCCACTGTGTTGGGC